CAGATTTGTTCTAGTAAATGTATTTAAGGGTTAATTGCTCAGTAGAGCTCTTGAAACTTCTCATTTTGAACAATACTTAAAAAGCCTAATCGCACTGTACCATGGTAATCTACAAAAGTATAAATAACCATGCAGCTAATAAGAGAGAACAGTCATTTCCACTTACCCTGGTACTTTTCAAGGTATTAAAGCTTTAAAAACTTTTGCCTCTTTACCTAGCAAGTAGAAATGTGATTGTACTTTAAAACTGTGATTGTACTTTAAACATAATTGCCAACCAATCTGCTCTGCATAAATAACGTAACAAAAAGGCAAATCAAGTCCTAATACTGAGCTTGCAGCATCACCTGGGCTTTGCAGCTTTGCAGAAAGCATCGTTTTGGAGTTTTCCCAGAGTGATGGAAATGTAGTTCATCATCGGTACAATTGGAAGCATCCAGCACCTGATCAGCTGGGGAAACTGCTTTGTGGGAGTGTTTTGGTGTGTTCTGGAACACTGCTGCATCTTTTCTGCAGGGAAATAGAGGCCACTGTGGGGCTTGGAGACTTAGAGATGTTGGAAAGTCAGAACCTCCCATATTCTTTTCAAGGTCTGGGAGGAAAGGTCAGGGTGAGAGCTAGTAGGTAGAGTTCCCGGACTCTAAACCTTAGTTTGGCCCTTGGAAAATTCAGGATTAAGTCATGTTTTACTTCACAGGGGAGTGTGAAATCTTAGCGAGCAGCTGTGGGTTTCTTTGGAAAGGACATAGTGGAAATGCAAATAGATACTAAGTGTAAGAAATAAGCCAGAAAAATACTCCTTTTCTAAGGATTTTCTGTTCTATTTGCACATTGAGGACCCTCAATCTTTGCATTACCTAACTTGCTGCTTTTCAATATTTTCCTTTAGTTTTTGAAACCCTGAGATTTTCAAAAGGAAGACTTGTCTTTGCAGGGTAAAGATGAGCCTCCTGGCAATAAGTTTGCATTCCTGTTACTTTTTGCAGACTCAAAGCTCTCTCTGAGACCCCAGATCTGATGGGTCACAAAATGAATGCAACTTCCAGTAATTATCAGAAGGAGATCTGGGCATTTCCAAGAGAGGATTTTTTGCCTTTTTTGTCCTCCTGATTTCTGGAAATACTACTAATGCCTTCTGCTAACCAGGAGCCCTGCCCATCTGAGCAGTGGTGCTCTATGACATCTATTCTGAACACTTGGCAGATACAGTTGCTTCCCCAAGTGAGGAGTGGCTTCTCTGGCAGAGAGCAGTTACTCACATGGCAGTGCTTCAGAGGATGCTAAGACAGAGCAGAGTGCAATGCAATCTCCAAATACCATCTTGCCTCCACCTGCCTCATGCATCAAAAGCTCCTTCTCAGTTCCCCCTGGGTTATAGCGTGAGAGGCTTCTTTTAATGGAAACCTCAATTGCCATATAAGAGGAATTTCTAATCCCTACATCTAAATACAAAGACAAGAAAATCAATAAGAAAACATCCTGAATGTAATTAAAAAAGGGAGAGAGAGCAACCAAGGAAGACAAGTAGAAGTTACATTGGAAACTGTTCCTATATCAGGCTGATGCGAGTTTAGACAGAGGAAATGTTAGTCAGCATTTGAGTGCAGGAACACAGATATTGCTCTAATATCCAAACACATGCTTCTGGGGCTCAAACAATCACAGAAAAAGCCTCTATTTCTACTGAAACAGCCAGCCTTGAAGCAGACAGTTTCAAGGAAGAGACACACACCCACACACTCCCTCCTCCTTGTGAATGCCACATCTCGTCTTTGTCACAGGAGATACCTGTCAGCTGTAGTTTGGGTTTTTGTTTTTCCCACTGAGTTGAGTGCAGCTGATGGTTTTCCTTTTATGAAAGGGAGCTGCTTTACTGGCACTTTATTATACCTGTGATGATGTGAGATGTTTGTGAATGCATGGAGAGAGGGGTTTTTGTAGGTCAACAACTATAACCGAAGTATAACTGTAAAAATTATTTAAGCCTTTGGACATGCGAACCCTTCATCAATTCTCATTGCCTAACAAAATATATAATTGTGTAGTTAAGAATCCAGCTACGTCCTGCCTGTTTTAAGAAAAAATTGGATTAAGGGATGGACATATGCTTTCTGTAAATTTTGTCATCCTACAAACACCTTCATCAACAGAAGGAAAACAAAGCTCCCTCTAAATCAGTAAACTTACATGATTTTAATTTGAAGAGCTGCTGGAGCACCTCTAATTCCCAAATCCTCTGTAGGCCAGAGCCCCTCCGTCAAACTTCATTGACCATGATGAACTGTAAGCACACAAGAGTGATTTGTCATGAAATACAAACTCTCTCTGTAAAGATTAGGGGACAGGCTGCTTCTCAGGTATTGTAGTCCAAGAAGATATCTGTTTAACAGGGGACAAGAGGGTTGGATATGAGAAGTATGGCATCTCAAAGTCACCACTGCCAACCAAAACTTGAAGAGTTGGGGGGAGGTGTTTTTTGTTTGGTTTGTTTTGGGTTTTTTTTCTATCGTTGAGTATTTTTCTATTGAAAATATTAGGCAAATTTTATTAGGAGGAAGAGAGTGAATCACCTATCTAATGGCTTATTTCTTCAAATGTGTGTGTTTATAAGAGTTCCAGATCTGCCCATATAAACTGTGATTGTGATAAATAACTTTTGGATTTGGGTGTATGTTTTGTTCTGATAAGTTATATGGGATGTTCTGAAGTTGTATCTCAGGTAGCAAGTCCATTAGTTAATCTTAGTGCTGTCCAGTTGTTTCCTTCTTGTGTTGTGAGTGGGAATAATCAGGAGGAATGTATTGAGCTCCTTTTCACAGATTTTACAAGCAAAGGAAGAATGCTTCCTCCCTTATTTCTCATCCTGTCTCCTGTTTTAGCTGTACACTACTGAGATAGGATTTTGTGAACATGACATTCTGACAACTATATAAAGTTGCTATTGTAATATTTAAAATGTTTTCAGCAGTTTCAGCCACTGTGGGTTGAGCAATTTCTTTCTGCTAAAATAACTCTAACAGAAGTTTTCCACTGTTGCCTTTTTTAGTATCCAAGAATGTATTCATTTATTTTATTTATTTGGTTTGCAGTAGCTAAAAAGACAGCTTCCCTCTCAAGGGAGCTTTCAATCTCAGATGAAGACAAAGAGACAACAGGGCGATCCAGCAGACAGGAGAAGCACAAGTTAGCAGGGTGGTATTTATGATCAATGTGATAGCCGTGACTGCAACACATCAGCTAATTGGACTGTGGGGAGCAGTTCAGATTTTCTTCCAAAGTGCAAGTACTTGCATGCATCAGCTCTGAGTCCCTGCTACCATTTTACCCAGCTCCTGGAGTTCCCCTCCTCTGGCTGTGGTCCC